GCCCTAATAATATTAGGAAGAAATTATGAGAGTATGAATCTTCTCCTTATGAAATTATATATGTTACAATTTTGTCCTTTGCTTCATGATTTGCATAATGGAATGGTAAAAAAGTGGATTAGTTTTAGCTTGACAATTCAGCGACAACGTACCTTATATATTCATGAATTACTACCAGATTATGATCAATTACGATTGAAAAATGGTGTGGATATTTCTTAATAAAACTAAATATTAACGTTTTATTAATATTTGTTTCATTAAAAAGTAGTTGTGTCGAGTGTCACTAGAACATCTCATTTCAAATAACTCTAGACTAAAATGGAAAACTAGAAACATGGTGGCACGTATAAACGTTGTGTAGTAATGACGATAAACCGTGAATACTCGTGTAGAAGTCCATGAGATTTGGCATGAAGCAGTCTCTATACATGCATAAATATTCCGCACGAAACATTATTCGTCGATTAAAATAACACAGAACAAAGAGAAACCAGCCTTTGTCATATTTGTTCCGTCCCAACCTCCTTTCTTGTACCTCCTTTTATAGGAATTAAAATGCTATTTATGCCAATTGTATAAAATTTGTAAGCTTATATAAAAAAAAAGACAACCGCTCCATAATATGATTATTTTACCTTTAGCTAGACCACTGAAATGTGTGAGTTAATCTATTTAATGAAACAAATTTATAGTTCTCATTCTTGGAACACATTTAGATGTGATCAAACATGGAATTCAAATCATGAATTCAGCATCACTTTGGTTCATGTTACAACACTAAATTGAAAATATTAACCTTAACAACTGACATTATTTGTTGTATAGTTTAAAATTAAACGGGTAAAGTATAACAATTAATTAGCAGATTAATACGTTTCGAGTTAAGTAATATCAAGGTGTAAAAATAAAATTCCTCTGAAAATAATAGAAGGTAAAATTATCTCTGTAAAAACCGTGGAGACCCGTAGGGTTGTGACACGTCGAGGCTCCCACATTCTCTAGACAATCAGCTCACAGACGGCAGTGATGTTGTCAGCCTTGCGCTCTGGCCGCCATTTACCCCCCAGGAAGATTCTTGGTACTCATTTCTGTTAGTGGCTAAGTCGACCCCAGGGTCATGTTGCGGCTGGAAGTGTTAGTTCAATTGAAAAATAAAATGACAGAATTGGGATTTGAACACGCGATCTTCCGGCTTGTAGCATAGTGCACCAATCAACTATGCTATCGCATGCCCCCTCCGAAAACAATAACACTAAAAGTTCCTGTCATCTGTTACAAAACAAAGTAATAATGACAGAAAGCAAATAAAAAACCCATATATGTACGAGATTGTAAACCCCGTTTCATCCAATCCGCCAATGCGTCCCACTTCATGTTCCCACAGTCTTATGACCGTTGAGCTGGTTCCAGCTGCCTCCTGACAGGCTGCAATCAAATCTATAAAACTGCTGTTTAAATTGGAACGTTACAACTATCCGTAGAGAATGATTTATATATATTGCTTATTACTTCGAGGTTCAACGATAATTTCAATAAAAAGCTAGTATGTAAGTTCATGGCATGTACTGTCTTCGCTCGCTTGGAAACCGGGATCGTGGGATCGGATCCCACTCAGGGCATGGATGTTTAGTTTGTGTGCGCGCACCCGTAGGGTTGTGACTGTACAGGTAGAGGCCTTGCGACGAACTGATCACCCGCCCAAGGAGTCCTACCGAATGTGTAAGATCTAGAAAAACCGAAGTGAACGGAGAAGTTAATGGAGGTAGGCCTAGGCCCGCTGGGGCTCTAGTGTCAAGGAAAATAAAAAATGAGATATAAGTTCATCGTTATAAAACGAATTCCGACGGTCTGTACCCAAAATGAGAGCAGTGAGTTTCAAGCAATACCTTATGTATAAATGGGCAAATGCAGATCCAAGCAAAGAAACTTCGCTGATTCCTACATTGAACTTTTTTTTGGCTTATTTCCTTTATTTCGAAAAATAAATGTAGGCTTATAAGACCTCCATGTTATCTGTGAATCTCTCCTTACGAACTTTTAAATGTCTGGTCAAATCTTTATGAAACTTGGTATGTATATCACGGAACCTGAGTCCATTTCAAGGGCGGCAGTTCACAAATCCCTCCCATCAGTGTGTGTATCCCTCCTGTTGTTACTAGACGAAAGCTGGGTAAAATGTATGCCTCCGTTCATTGCTAGACAACGGCACTGTAAACACGTTATCGCAGCAAAAAATACCTACTACAATACACACATTATGAGCTGCCATATTCTTCCAGTGGCTGTTAGTGATGTGCGTTACAAATGCATTCATAGAATGCGTAACAAGATCTAACTTCATAAAACAGGAGTCTAACAATATCGGACTGCGAACTTCCTTAATGCACAGGCCTGACTTTGGCCTGACTCTATCCAAACATTCAACTTTTCTTCTAAGTTTCGTGTTGTGCAGTGCGACACAGTCCACTTGGTACGTCGGCCACAATTGGACTGTTGTATCAACTCAAGACGATAAATAAGTATGGAGCATTTGACGGAATGAGAATTATTGGCAGGGGAAATCGAAATACTAGCGTAAAGCCTGCCCCATTGTCACTCCGTCCACCACAAATACCACATGACCTAGTGTGGGATTGACTCCAGGCCCCAGCGATGGGAAGCTGGAGGCTAACAGCCTGAGCTATGCCACGCCTCGCGGACGGTGGGTTATCAGGCTGACATTCAAAACGCCTACCTCCAAAATATTAACTTAGAGTCTTATCGCTACGCCAGTATTGGAAAGAACTGAATGTTCCATACCCACAAAGGAACAAGCAATATGTACACGTCTCTTCGGAAAGGCATAGAAACCGTGCCGCGATAATGACGGGTGTCAGAAAGGAACGTTCTCCAAGCGGCACGTCTGGTCTTCCTACTGCTTTCAGGCGTCCTTGCAGCTGTGAAATGTGACCGGATACATTTATAAATATTTTACATAGTATATAACAGATGTATTATATACATATGTAACTTTTGTGAACAGTCCGGCATTTATTTCGATGATGGACCGGTATATTTAGTAACCGACTTCAATATGCCAATCACATACACTGTATCTAGGAAGTACACAGAGTTTCAGTAACTGTACGTAAACAAGAACAAGTCTGCATATTTACGAAAACAGACCGTGACCGCAACCGAGAATCTTTTGTGTAGGAAAAAAATAGCTCTACGCAGTAACATATTCAGTTTAGTTCCGTGACCGCAACCGAGAATCTTTTGTGTAGGAAAAAAATAGCTCTACGCAGTAACATATTCAGTTTAGTTTTACTTCTTGTCAAGGAAAATTTGCAAATAAAAATAAAACCTTTTTCAGGGGGCGCATTGTGACATAAAAAGAATGACAAGTTGTTGAGATGAATATTTGTCGGGCAACTAGGAAGCTTTGTCTATTTTCCATTTAACTTGTACTGTTCATTACTGCCAAATGCAGAAAACATCTAATTTGTTAACATGCCTTTCTAGAATATTTCTTGAGCTGAAACATCGTTTAGTAAAGCAAACCCACACAATGCTGTTTAGTAAAGCCAAAAAAGAACAAAAACATACGTGACGAAAATAGCAAATTCCTGCGAAACAAAGAGAAACCGAAAAGGTTGGCATAACAACCGAAGTATACACTTTGACTAATTCTTTATTTTATTGTTTTCCTCAGTCCTACCTGATTAACGGAATGATAGTGACATCAAATGGGCAACAACTGCAGTCTCGCAAATCCTTACCTAATTAATGCATCAATCGTTAATATATGAAATATTTAGCAGAAGCTACTTTGTTAGATAACATAACAATTGATCAAAAACAGCATGAAAGCGTATATGTTATTTTAAAGAATAAGGAAAAGTGCACTTAAAAATAATTAATAATGAAAAGATGGGCAATTAAAATATTCATATAAGTTTTTACTCGAATCAGATTTTGTGGAAACTCTTAAGGAAATGGTTAATTGAAAGTACTTCAAGTTAAGTTGTCTCTGTGCAAATACTAAAAAACATAATTTTAGAAATTTTATGGAAATTATCCTTTAAATTTTGCATTTCCATAAGAGACCGAAGACTGTTGACCCCGTCATTAACAGAACAAGACGTACGCAATATGTTACGACAGCCACTTCCTAATATTCGCATAAGCATTAAGAAAGCATCGGTAGATGTATTCCCGGTAAAGATTTCAGGTTTCGCCGTTCAGTAGTCCCGTTAAAGAAATGTCACAACCCTCCAAGGAGTTAAATGTTTTTGCAGGTTCTTGGTTTACATATAATATCACTTAAAATTCACGAAAACCTATATTGGTAGGGTTAGCTGAAGGTTTAGTACAAAATTTGGGCAAGAGTTTCACATACAAAAACAATAGAAAATGTCCACAATAACATGTATAGGGAAACATTTATTTTGTGAGTTACAGCTGAAGCGGTACATTTAAAACAAGTGCTCAAATTGTCCCCCATGCAATTCAATACACGCCTCGACACGTCTCTTCGTGGCCTTCCGCATCCGTTCAAAAATGCCAGGGTAGTTGCGGATAGTCTGACAGGCATCCACACTGCCATGAAGTGCCTCTTGGTTGTCAACAGGAGCTGCATGCACAAGGAGTTCTCGATGTTCCCACAGGTAAAAATCCAGAGGATTCAGATTCTGGAGAGCGTGGAGGCCATGCAGTTGGTCTTCCTCTACGTATCCAGCGGTAATGATAGGTGTTCAGCTGTAACTCCGAAATTATATGTTTCCGGACACATGTTGTTATGGGCATTTCTTCTTCTTTGTGTATCGGGAATTCTGATTTCATTAAAATACATTTTAGTCCACATATAATTCTGAAGCAAAATAATTTCCATTTTTATGTGGGAACATATTTGCGACAAACATCTTCTCTATAAAGTGTATGCATTTATAATTAAGCATAAGCTTAAATCTTCATTCGAAAAAATACACACTAAAAGCGTATCAATTCATATGCAGGTGGATATGCACTTGAACATCACCAGCAATTTCAGCCAAATGGAATCCTTGAGCCAGAAGGCGTCCTGGAGTCGGGAGACGGCCAAGCAGTACCCGAAGCACGTGTCCATCTTCCGAGGAGCGTCTCTTTACGCGCGTCTCGCACAGCCCGACGCCCTGCACGAGCTCGTGCACGCGCGTCCTGCTCCGAGCTACAGCCTTGAGACGTCCACAGACGCATTCAAAGTGACACAACATGGAGGAATCATCTATGTGTCTGACGTCACTGCTCTGTATGAAGCACCAAGCTCCCTCAAGTGAGTGTTCAGTAACACCTTGCTATCAAACAATCTAATCTCTGTCAGGCACATCCGATTTGCATTGCCGGAACCTGTTTTCTTGAGATTTTGAACTACACATTCATCCTACAGAGCTGTTGCCGAGTATGATACACTCTATGTTGTTATGCTCACCAGGAAATGTCCTTTCAGCCATTTTATGTTTGATGTTCCTGAAGACCACTTCATCTTTTGTTTCGCATGCTTTTCAAATTCAGTCTGGCATATAGATTTATGTGTCTGAGAACAGGTTATGAGCAATGAGTTTGACTTAGTGAGGGAAGAATGTGAGAGAAAGTTGCATAATGAGGACCCTCATGATTTGTGTTCTTCTCCAAATGGTCATTAAATAAAGGATAATTAGATGATTGGGGCATTTAACACATATAAAAGAGATGGTAAATGCGAAGTGTTCAGAATGCTGAAGGGAGTGGTTCACTTCGAAGACCTGGGTGTACATGGCAGAATAATATTAAAATAAATCTTAAGGAAATGGTGAAGGATGAATTTATGTTCTTGAATGGATTTACTTGGTGACCACAGAAACGAACCTTCAATTCCACTGAAGGGAACATATGTCCCTGGCTACGTGAAAGACCATTAGCTTCTGATGAAAGATCGCTGGTTGGGGATGGTTAGTAAACTCTGATCAGAAGTATAAAAGGCAAACCGGAGAATATGAAATAAAAGTAGAATGGCGCGAGACTGTTATATTATCTTTAAACTAAAAGCCCGTCAGTTCTTCAAATCCTATATTACGTATATCTAGTCGTTGGGCATTGTGACGAAATATAGAAGTAAATAATGTATTTCAGCATCATTAATCTTGCTAGCAACACTGAAGTTCATAACGCCCACTTTCACCGCAAGAGTGCAGTACTAGTTGGACATCATCTACTAGACATAAAATCTTCCCTCCTAAAAGGAATTAGGCTTACTTAGCCCTCGTCACTTCAGTCAGAAGGCTCTAGTATGCTATTTAATTCATGACTAGTTTTAAAACCACTCCTACGTGTATATAGCAGGATTCAGGATAACTCAGTATGTATAGCGACTGGCTACGGGATAGACGGCCTGGTTTCAATTCCTGGCAAGGACAAGAGACTTTTCTCTTCACCACAGCGTCTAAACCCATCCTAAGGTCCATCCAGCCCCCTGTCTAATGGGTACAGGTAACTCTTTACCCAGCGACAAAGAGGTAGGGACGTGAAACTAACCACTCCCTTCCAGCTCGTGCCGAAGTCAAGATTGGGCTTATATTTCCTGGCCCTCATGCGTCTTCATGACGTGATGCTTAACTAATTAAGCACTGAGACAACTTCACTTTTACCTCATGTGCAGCATGTAGATAAACTTCCCATTGACATATAGGTCCCTTCTTCGGTGTATCAGTGGCGTAGAACCTGTTTACAATGAAATACCCCTAGCTGCATTGTAATGAACCAAACACAGGGCCCCCTGCCCTCAGTAACTCACGGTCACCTTGTGTTTCATTGCAGCCTCACAATCGTTGTGTTGTTTCCCGACAACAAGTTCGACAAAGTGTTAATGCAAGTGGATATAACAAGTGATGCAGGAAAGGGGGCTTGTAATGAAACCACGTGGTGGCAAAATCAGACGGACAAAGACTGGATCCTGTGTTCTGAGAAAGATAAGCCGAAAGCTTGTGAGGAGCTGTGTGGCGTCGGCACGGGAAAGGCCGTCCCTGTCAACGAGGACTTGTAAGTACACACGATGGAACTTAGTCTGTCCGTCCGTCTAGTTGACCCTCTTCAACTACAGATAAATCATTGAAATTATTATTGACATATTTTAACTTGACATGAATACCATGTAATTGGTGTCCCTACAATATATGATGTTATTTACGCCCTTACGAATACTACTGACAGGCCAATAGTGCGAAATTCAGAGGTGCAGGTACTAAAGGTTCATTCGGTGGAAAATTAGTTAACTGTCTGCAGTCGAACACCAATAAAAAGTGGATGTTTTATAATGATGGAAAATATTAACGCTAACCAATCAGATGTTTTGTATAATAACTGTAAGTTTCAGAAAGTTGACTTTTGGACAGTGTGCAATGATACGTCACAAATAAATTTGATTGAGAACACGGATTATACACAATCTTGAAACGTCTGGTCTGCGAAACCCTCAATTCTGCCATTTTATCAGCAAGTCCGTATAATACTCGTTACAGTGACACGCACACTTGGCATGACAGATGTCTCTTACAAAATTTAAATTTAGAACAACAAAACAGCCAATATCTGTGGTCAGTTTCTTAGTTCGGCCATTAGTCGTCTGTTTTTATATTGCTAATGGGGTGGGACTAAGTCCCTTGTACTGTGGCCACTTCTGGTCTATTGTACCAGCCCCAGATGATAGGTGAGGGTGATTGTGGAGCGATTGGTGGAATGAAGATTGGCAGGGGAAATCGAAGTACTCGGAATAAACCTACCCCAGCGCCACTTTGTCCACCACAAATCCCACTTGACCAGACCCGGGATCGAACCGTGGCCGCCGCGGTGGGAAGCCAGCGACTAAACGCTTGAGTTATGGCGCGGTCTCATTAGTCGTTAGTCAGTTCTATAATTTATAGTGCATTTGATAGGCAATCAAATTAAAACTGCATGTTTCATATTAGAAATTTGGAAAAGCAGAAGTTCTCATCAACATCAATGACCATCGTCTTGGTCTGCTCCATTTGCAGGGATAAAAACTCTTCATTTTCTTATGACTCTCATTCTTAGTAGCTTCTTCCTTTCGATTTATATCGAAACAGCAGCTCTCAAATTCTATTTTCAGGCACTCTTTGCCAGTGTTCTGGTACTGGTAGGTTTTAATGTTGTATTGATATCTGTTATTTCCAGTTTCTTTGTAATATCTTCATTTATAATTTTGTGATTAGTTATTTCGTATCCTAAGACTGCTCTGAGAAAAGCAATTTGTAATGCCTGCAATTTATTTTAATTTGTTATTCCATTAACACCCGACATTCACATATGTGTGAAGTTATAACTCTAGGCCTATACAATTATATTAATATTTGCATCCTAAAGTTCGTCAAATAAAGTTTTCAAACGCACATTTCCAGAAAATCTCCGATAGGAAACAGAGGCTGTATGTGGAGGGGCAGCAGAACGCCTTTACCACATGAAAACCTCACAAAGGATTATGCTACCTGCACTGCAGATATCGACACGTGCCCAGATTTCCTGTGTGACCCTCTAGAGAAACTTCACTTCCATATCTGTCCGCAGGACTGCACAGGTAAGTTCTGCTCACGCTACGAGGCACAATCTTCGCAATCATGAATGGACGATAAAAAGTTTCCTTGTATTACGTAGAATCTGAAGAGTTGTACTTGTGATGGGAACTAGTAAGCAGGAATCTGAAGAGTTGTACCGGTGATGGGCACTAGTAAGCAGAAGAATAAGGACTAAAATACACAGAACACCACAAACAAGTTATTTTCACTTCGGCTTAGTCTATAAATATATTTTTTTTTCAGATATATGGGAATGACAATTAGAAACTCAAATTCAAAAATAGTTTGGCTATCTTATATATATATACGCACGAGTATATAAGTAGATAATACAAAGTCAATGCAAATAACTTCCAGTCACTATTAACCGAATGATGGCCATGGAAATCGCATAAACATCTACGTGTACATGAACAAACGTGAAAATTTTATTCGTTTGAGAACATATCAGATTTGGAATTAATCAGAAATTCATGGCTTAAACCTGAGAGAGTAGCAATTGTAATATCAGCAGTCATTTGAATAAACTCTCTGTGAAGATCATTGAAAACAAAACATGTCAGCCATCTGGGAAAGAAGACGTTTCGTAGCAACTGTAGTAAGAATTCAAATCGTCACCCCGCCCACATGTGGCACGACAAAGTATACTGCACCTTGCTCTTACGAACCTGTCGATCTATTCAAAGTGGCTGAAATAGAGTGCCCAGTTGCAAGGAAGGAACACAACAGTCTAGAAACAAACGTTACAGTTTGAACTCTAGTGAGAACACAGGGACATTTCTTTCAAATACTGTGCAATTTTTCTGTACCGTACGTTTTGATGACGTCACTAAACCTTGTAGGATTTGAGGTTCTCACATCGGTGGTTATGAATAGTTCTGTCTTCAGAAAGAGCAGGTAGAACTCTTGTTACTTTCTTCATGATATTTCCTTGCTTGGCTTATTCTTCGGCAGTGAAGATGGAGGTGATCTCTTCCTCAGAAAATTCGGCTGTCTTTCAATGGACTACACAGTGTTATATCCCAGATGACAAAAATCTTCGTAAGATTTTTTTCGAATATGGTGTACAACCATCAAAGTACAAATTCATTGTAGTTACAAGAACTAAAATCTCTTTTTAAAGTAGAGGGCCTAAGGGCCCAGTAGCGGTGACACCTACAGCACACGCTTCTCGTCTGCATCCTTACTGCTCAAACGTACAGGGTTCTACGTCAGCAATTCTCGATGCTAATTTGTCACTTCAGTAGCCGGGACAGCTCAGTCGGTATAGAGACTAGGCTACGGGCTGTACGACAGAGGAATCAGGGTTGGACCCACGGTCTCTGGAAGAGACTTTTCTTGATAACATCCTGACAGGCACTGGGGCCCATCCTGCCTCCTAACCAATGGGTAAGATAAATTTAAAATGGCTCCTGTACTTAACTAAGTAAGCACTACTCCACGAAGGCGTATGGGGGAGTGGATATATAGATCCACGTTTTCTTGACCTAGGCACTAATTGGAGGTGAGTGGTCAGCTTCACGTCCTTGCCGCTTTACCTCCGGGGAAAGAGACCCCGTTACTCATTTTATAGGGGCTGAGTGGATCCCAGAGCCGGTCTGGAAGTTGTAGAGAAGAGAAAATTTTCATAGTCCTACCAAGGATCGAACCTCGACTATTCGGTCGGTCAGCTCACATACCGACTGAAGTATGCTGGCTCAATTGTAATAGTATTAGCCTTACCTACTTTTGGACATGGTGATTATATTACAAGTTATATAGTAGTGACTCTATTTAACACATATTAATTCAAACTGTCCTTAAACTGCATATTATTCGACGGTACAGGGGATCAAAGTATTACATTTCTTTCAGATATGGTGACGGGAGCTGGATATCAGAACGAGGGAACTAACAACAACCTTGGAATAGCAAGTGCGAGCAATAAAGTTGTTTGTACCTGCGACCCTCATTACAAGTGCGCCTGCGCTCCTCCTGGCAGGGGGCAAAAGAAAGTTTCCAGCAATGCACCGACTACGGTGTCATCATATAACGTCACGACGGCCTCCATGTTCACCCAACCTCCGAGGGATCCAAATGTGAGCGCAGAGAGAGGTGAGTTGTCTGCTGCCTGTCTGTCGTCGGTACCACATTCTGGCTGTCGCTTATTCATGGTGTACCTGCCGTCGCATGGGATGTAGATATATCACAAATAATAAGACAATGGACAGAGGAAGTTGTTTCCTATTTTATGGTATAAGAAAAAAAAATTCGTGGCATTAGTCCGCAACTATATCGACCGAGCGACCGCCGCTTGTCGGCGAAGCTAGTGCCAATTTTATCTGATAGAGGATGTCGCGTGGTAAGAGCAATGAATCCCCACGACCGTTAATTTCGGTTTTCTAGATCGGAGCCGTTACTTTTACATTCAAGTAGCTCCTCAATTATCCTCACGAGGCTGAGTGGACCCCGTTCCAGACTCACTACTTCTCAGAAAATCTGGTAGCGCCGGGAATCGAACCCGGGACCTCTGGATCTGTAGCCAGGAACTCTGACCACTAAACCACAGTACATATCGGTATAATCTAAAAATACTGATGGAGCAAAGAAAGCCAGTAGCCCGTTGATATATGGAATGCCACGTCTAAAATCTAATTCCTGTGCGTTACAATGCACCAGCCTATCGTGTTTCACGCCGCGCCGGTAGGAGAAAAATACTGATGGCGAGCACATGCGAAAATAAGCTATAGTGTTATGGTATGGTAAGTACAATGCACAAACCAATTATAAAATGTAATGGTGGAGATCCGTTGTGGCTAGCTCAAGATCTATGGTTCTTTACCCCAAGTCGAACTAAGTTCAGAGTCAATTGTTACAAGGCCAAGTATGAAACAATTTCGTGACAAATGAGACGGGTAGACTGATCGCCTGCTGTACACCTGAAGGCCTTGGCACATCCGCGTGGTAGATCCTTTGTATAAGGGATAGCAGAAGAAAAGAGACCTGCTTTTACCCAATATGAAAGTGTGTCACTTTGACTGCTACGAACTCCAAATTAAATGCTCTGAGATCCAAGTGCCTTTGCACTCAAGATTTACCGAAATAATTGTTTAAATGTTTGTACCAAGCACGCTACATGCCCGCCCATCCCCGTCCTTTGATCTGATTACCTGAATTATATCTAGCCTAGGGAACAAATTAAGAAGATTTTCGTTACTAACCCTTTAAAGTCCGGTGGCTCTATATGTACCATTTTACTTACTCGCTCACTCATGGAGCTGAGCCCTTCTTGAGGAGCCGCCAATTCTGCAGCTACTCAAAAATTTCCCACAATTTTATGGAACCCAAGGTTCATTACCGTGTTCACAAGAGCCCTCCACTGGTCCCTATCCTGAGCCAGGTCAATCCAATCCACACCATCCCATCCTACCTCTCTAAGATCCACTTCAATATTGTCCAATTACACACGCCTTGGTCTTCCGAGTGGTCTCTTTCCTTCTGGCTATCCCACAGATATCTTCTTCTGCCATATTCGTGCTACATGCCCTACCCATCTCATCCTCCTTGACTTGATGATTCTAATTATACTTGGAGAAGAGTACAAGTTATAAAGCTCCTCATTATAGAGTATATGTACCACTTTAACAGACTAAAAACTCTGCATCTTCCCACGGTGCGTGTTTTTCTTATAATTCTCACAATAAAAAGAGATTTTCCTTAAATATCATTAACACATTGATCTTTGTAGCGGAAATATGAAGTATTCCCATTGAGGTACGAACTGAAATTTGACATATTTAGACAAATTTTAGTATTTAAATGGGTAATTGCCTCCATTCTGTTATTTTCACACTCGTAGGTCGAGTATTCTGTTACTACCTCCATGGAGTAGAGTTCTTCTAGAGTAGATGCTGAAGAAGAAGCCAGCCCTTTACGGAACTCAAAAATACAGAACAGTCTATTTTTAAATATACAGTCGCGGACAGCTGACATGGGGTGTCCCGCAGCATGGCGGATCAACCCCGGACCAGTACATCATCGTAAAGAAGACTACGTGAAAATGTTAAGAAATGTCACGGATAACAAAACCGACGCCACTTAGCCTTAGCTCGATATTCCATTCTCTAAACACTATATCCTGTCACGTGGAATTAGGTCGAACTGGAATGACTTGTTCATCTTTTCGCCCGTATTGCTATCACATTTTATGTGCACTTATTCTTTATGATGATATTATTATTTATATATTTAAATGCTCCCCTGTTCAGGTTACATTCCAACACAATTAGCACCAAAACAATCAGCATCGCTACGAGAGCTACCGCCGCTGTTGCTTTATTGTGACTATTATCACTACTAGTATTGCCGTTAAGCAGTCGCTATCTGTAGGCCTACTCCATACATCAGAGCTCCCGTACAATCACAACACAAATCAACAAGAAAGTAACAATTAGTGTACAAGGTAAAAAATGATAAAGCTTTCCTTGTAAGAGGCCATGAAGGCCCATAGGATTATGAGGCGTCGAGGCTGCCATATCTTCTAGACCAGGCATGTCAAACTCAACTTGTACAGAGGGCCACCTCAGCCCTATAAATAATAGTCCAGGGCCTTACTTCAAAATAGAANCACATATCGTACAGTTTTAAAAAGCGAGACTGTGACATTTTTTACAAGTATTAAACAGCTTTTCCATATGTAAAAAGAGAGATTAAACAAGAAATTATGTTAGAAATAGCAAACATTTAATTTCCTGCAGCCTGCTAATTTATGTCTGCGTGAGACTTCTTGTCTTCTGGTCTGCTGGAAAATTGTCTTTACAAAAAATATTTCTACTAAAATTTTAATATTGATTTTAATATCAATTAGCTCTAAAAGTTGAGGGGCCGCACTTTGTGGCTATGGGGGCCGCATGTTTGACACGGCTGTTCTAGGCAATCGGCTCACAGATGGCGGTGAAGTCGTCAGCCTTACGTGCCAGCCGCCCTCTACTCCCTCCCTCCGAGAAGAATCCTGGTACTCATTTCTGTTAGAGGCTGAGTGGACGCCAGGGTCATATTGCAGCTAGAAGGATTAGGTAAATTAAAACATCCAATAACCTCAACGGGAACCGAACTCACGACATTCAGGCTTGTAGCATAGTGCCTCAATCGCGTACCCAACCTGGTAAAATTAGTGTAACAAATATAATTCAGCTGTGTTACCTGTGAGAACACATTCTAGGTTATTCTTTTAATCACTGTCATAATATAGATACCAAAACCTTCAAATATGTATGAACTTCACACATTTATATAAGACTGCAAAAAAGATATTCATTCACAGAGAAATTAAGAACAGATTAAATTTGGGGAACCTTTAGTTTCAGGATCTTTCCTCTCCCGTCTGGTATAAAAAATTTAAAGAATAAAGTATAAGAAATTTTAAGATTTAGTAACTATTTGTATGGATTTGAAGCTTGGTTTCTCGCCGTAAAGGAAAATCATCGATTTGGGATGCTTGAGAATAGGGTGCTGAGGGTAATATGTGGACCTCAGAGGGAGGATGTAGCTGGACGCTGGAGAAAGCTGCAGGAGGACCTTCATAATTAACACTCTGCATCAAACATCACCCGTATAATCAAACCGAGGGGGAAAAAAAAGATGGGCGAATCATTAAACACGCACGGCAGAGCTGAAGAATTGATACAAAATTTAGTTGGGAAACTTAAAAGTAAGAAAATATTTTGGAGACCTAGACTACGCGGGCAATGCTAAGAAGAAGTGTCTTGAACAAATAAGATACGACGGTGTAGCTCTGTTTGCCTCAGGATATGAACTAACACTCACATATTATGTACACCGTACTGAACAATCCAATTTCATGAAGAGTGAAGAGTTTTTCGAAAAGATGAGCAAAGACCAGCGTTTCAGGAATGACTCTACTTCGTGAAGTTAATTTAGTTTCTTCTTCACAAGGAAACATTTTAAAAGCAATTTCCATTAGTAACCCTTTTAGAGACACATTAGAGATATAATTAAAATAAATAATGAAACCTTGTCAGCTGCGCTGGTTATATAACTTCTAATCGAAATGCTTGTGAATAATTATCAACGGTGAGACGCAATACATGGATAAATGAATGCTTTGTTTTGCATCGGTGTATTTAAACACGCATCCTTACATTGGTTAAAAGAACGTCGGGGGAGCTAACTAGGAATTATGAGAAAGGCACAACACTGTGGCTTTGACCGATTTAAATGACCAAGAGTTGCCCAGAAAGTCTGACTAACACAGCGAAACCCCTTCTTTTGGATCTCTTGTGTTTATATCAATTGATATTTGTAGATATTTTTAAAATGTTCTGCCCTTCAGCCGATTATAATCCATTCAAGTTCACTCAATTCTGTTTTCTTGGCACTATAGCCCCAGTGGGCCTAGGCCTACCTCCATGAACTTCTCCGTTCACTTCGGTTTTTCTAGATCTTACATATTCGGTAGGACTCCTTGGGCGGGTGATCAGCTCGTCGCAAGGCCTCTACCTGTACACACAGAAAAACGCACACATACAAACTAAACATCCATGCCCTGAATGGGATTCGAACCCACGATCCCGGTTTTCAAGCGAGAGAAGACAGTACATGCGTTAGACCGCTCGGCCACCGTGACCGGCAGTTCACTAAATTACTTTCCCAAAAGAACCCGCGCCCCACCTCAAACGACTAGTCGCTCCCCTAATTGATTGGATGCCCCACACTTTTGAAACCATTGTTACAAGGTATGTTACACAATATATCATACCCCGATCTATGAAGCTGAGTAACTGATGTGGAAATAAATAAAATATATGTTGTTGGATTAACTTACAGTCCCAGAACCATTTATTTTGGTTATCAAATTTCTTATTAAATCAGATGTTGTCCACTCACCCCAGCGCGGTCTGACGCGGTTAGATGGGACAGTGAACAAACACTTCTTGGTATGCATACTAACCACCAGGATTGTCTATACTCTTTCAAATTGTACACATTTAAAATACGATTTACAGGTTCAGTAAGTTTCACTGTAATAAACAAAACACTAAAACACAATTATGATAAGCTTTAAACACTATTGCACTTACCATTGCCCACTAGATCGAGCGTATGGTTGTCTTCTTCTGTGTACGCAGATGGTCGTCTCACTTTATTGTTCCCATGTTGATGTCTAATGCAATTCACTCAACAATGTGAATCCGATTAATAATAAATAATTATAAATCGGGAACAAAACATTCTGAAATTTACTACTAAAATCAATAAATTACACAGTCATTGAGATAAAAGGACTTGTAATTCTGTAAATACGATGTAAAATTATACATTGCGACTTGTTTTACACGTAATGAAACTTATCATAAAATTCTTTACATGGTAATAATAACCTCACGTAATCTTCGGCTAATAAATTTTATGTATGAATTTATTTAAAACTGATTCTTACGTAGCCGCATTCAGTATCTTATTTCCGGTGTTTTGTTCGCTGTTACCATTTTACACTAACTTATTTTCATCATAAAAATCATGCACAGTAATACCGTTTGTTTACACTTGCCAATAGACGGCATTAAATATGTTCCACGAATGTCTCGCAGTCCACATCGCTCTCTCCTTAGACACAGGGCATCACAGAGTGACGGACGTGACGGAGACAACGGCACTCCGTTAGCTCCGTTAGTCAGTGAAGGAGAAGTCATGAACCAAGAGAATGACTATGTTCTCTGTTACTCCTTTTTGACGTCTTTGACTGTGTCTTAGAAAAACACATATTCCTTATTACCGTTAAGCGTTCAACAGAGATAGCTTTTTAATGTTTAATTACTACAGTGTTCTTATATTTTCCTACTCTCTTGAAATAAACACGGTTTTTTCTCTTTTGAATATTGTTGTAATCAAACTAATTATATTCTCTCGGCATGGAAGAGAGAGAGTACTTTCATATGAAGTCAAGCCACTGTACGGACCACGTCACGTCATACATTATGAAGTCATCTTTAAAAACGGAAATTCCTGTATAAGTACCTTTGCTTTTTGCACCGAAATATGAACAGAAGTGTGCTGAGAACAGAATCTAATAACTTTCTAACAGCGATATATCGGTCAAAGTCACTGCATGACTGTGGCGCACTCTGGTACCCATAGCAGATCCAGCATGCCCGTAACTTGGACTGTCGAGCAGTATCGGTTGATGGTGCCTAGTGAGTTCCTTCACAGAGCGTCAAGAAGTACACGACGACCGAATGACAGCTGAAGTACCAATATGAATCATATCAGTAATTTTTAGGAATTCCATTCCACAAAAATAAAAATTCTTTGAGGACAAAGTGCATTTTAAAAACAAATTCACGGCAGATGAAGACTACACTGGAATGTTACAGTTTACTGCTAACACATGCTTCCAACTAAAACATGAACTACATTTTCATAACATTGTATCCTATTAGACAGAACTAAGAAATGAAGATTGTATATCGTCACTCAAACCTCAGAAATAGAGTGTCTTATGTGTACGATCGCATCGTAATGGATGATAATATCACCGCAGCCCGGAGGACGGTGACGTCAGCTGTTCCAGAAATACATAACTTATGCCCTCCTTATCTAATCTGAAATAACGTAATTGAATAAAAATTACATGCGTATGAATAATTTAAAATGCCAACGAGAATGTATCCTGCGTGCTAGTATAATATTTGAATAAAAGTCCATTTAATATTCATCTTTTCTAAAATCCAGTCGGAATTTTATAAGAAATTTGTTTTTTTTTCCAGATGCCCTCCCCAACTATCGGAAATAGAACAGCATATCCCGCAATTGATGCAAGCACACAGACTCAAGATACTGTGGCTTTTGAAATGAACCGCGAGGATATGCCCCGGCCACCAGCTTCAAGTAAGCAGTAGCCCCCCCCTAACATTCAGACAAGCGCCATCCCATAGTTACCAAACCACTGAACCAGTCAACTAGGCCACTTCACTCCACTAAGACAGCCGGGATGAGAGTCTTAAGTGTAAAATTCGGCGAACCACCTAAAACTTTGGCTATACACGTAGTTAGTTACTCGAGTAGCCTCAGTTCATGAACTGAACACTCGATTAACCACGCATCTCATCTCTGGGTGCAGCATCCCTTTAGTCATGTGGATGTTTACGAACTCCTCTCCGTTTCTCTGTATCTGCAACTCCAGCCTCAATAGTAGACTGCCCTACTCATCTTTCAAAATCAAGTTTTTTTTTTCAACGTACAGAAAATTAAAAAAACACTACTCATTTTTTGCCTGTGGTCATGAAAACGTATTTGTGGCAGAGCAAGCTCTTATAAAGGTATCTCCCCGCGAATGTATTTACAATATGGCGAAAGTAATGGTAAAATCGCCCTTATGCTTACTTAAGTACTACGACATGAAGACGTATGGGGAATGGAGAAATAGCTCCACCATATTTTGACCTCAGCACTAGATAGAGATTAATAATAAAATTCACGCTGCGGCCGCTTTACGTCCCAGGAAAGAGCCCCAGGTACCCATTGGATAAAAGGCTGGGTGGGCCTTTCTTTTTTATTGCTAGTGGCCACTTCTGGCCTATTGTACCAGCCCCAGATGTTAGGCGAGGGTGATTGTGGAGCAATTGGTGGAATGAAGATTGGCAGGGGAAACCGAAGTACTCGGAGAAAACCTGCCCTAGCGCCACTTTGTCCACCACAAATCCCACTTGACCAGACCTGGGATCGAACCCGGGCTGCCGCGGTGGGAAGCCAGCGACTAACCGCTTGAGCCATGGCGCGGTCCTTGGGTGGGTCTTAACAGCAGGTCTGAATGTTGTGGAGAAGAGAGGAATCTCTTGGCCCTACCGGAAATGATACCCCCACTGTCGGACCCGTAGCCCGTCGCTACTGGCTATTTTAAAATCATTTTCGCTGGTCTTCCTCAGGCGCTGCAGGAGAATACCGAAATAATTTCTTCAGGCAGACATACACTACGATCATCTGCTTTTGAATCATTAATCACCACTAATTACCATTCTCTGGTCTCTTTCCAGACCATAACAACCTACACAGTTGAAACAGCTTCTTAATTGTTTTCATGGACGTACACTGCAGACGAACGGGACCAACAAAAGAAATTGTTACTAAAGAGACATGCAACAGAAACCTAAAAGGCGAAAACAATCAATTATTTTACCCGCTACTAGTCGTAAGTCAAGACGAAACCTGCCCATCAAATTAAGTCCTCTTCTATGTCAGCTACATTATTCAGATTATTAAAATTCGGCCGGTCACGGTAGCCGAGCGGTCTAAGGCATACCTGTTTTCGCTCGCTTGGAAACCGGGATCGTGGGTTCGAATCCCACGCAGGGCATGGATGTTTGTGTGCATTTTTCTGGGTTTGTATACAGGTAGGGGCCTTGAGACGAGCTGATCACCCGCCCAAGGAGTCCTACCGAATGTGTAAAATCTAGAAAAACCGAAGTGAACGGAGAATTTCGTGGAGGTAGGCCTGGGCCCACTGGGGCTGTAGTGCCAAGAAAAAAAAATCGGCGTATTTTCTGATTTCTTAATTTATTGAATATCACCCTCTTAGATTTAGTGTACACATATACATACATAGGCCTACACATCTATGACGTGACATGCTACAACCTCAGTAACAAATTAATCGCGGTTCGCTGTTACTGTGAGCATGACCTGCAATATCTCAAGAGAATGCTGCAAGAATATCTTGAGAAAGAAAAATACAGTCGGAAACTTCATCTACTCTACAGGGATTTCATTATATGTGTGTCGTCGCAAGGCAGTCGGAAGTTTCACCGAGTTAGATTTCGGCAGCTCACTTTCCAAGTATTTCCGCAGCGGCATAAATTGAAGGCCCTGTATTTCACAATTTATTTCTCCTATATCCTTCTTCTGCTGGTCACAGTGGCCCCGCCGTCTGAGGCATACAGTCTTCGCCCCCTGAAACACTGTGGTCGTGGGTTCGAATTCCACTCGAGGCATGGATGCCTGTGTGCGTTTATTCTGTATTTGTGTTGTTCTGGGTGTAGGTAGAGGCCTTGCGATGGGCTGATCTCTCATCCAAGGTGTTCTCTCGACTGTGTATAAATTAAGAAACTGAAAAAGCGAACAATGTCCAACAAAGGTATGTATAGCCATAACAGAATACAATATAAAGCCCCTCCTTTGCCTGACTACTATAGATCACTATCTGCCGTTTCTAAGCCTACAAGAAGTCAATCCTTAGTGCTACTTTATCCGTACTTGTCACCTTGTAAGCTGTGTTGACTTGGGATATCTTTCTCAGTTGTATTATTATTTCCTCCTAAATGCTAATGAGTAGGCAAGTCTGAGTGCATTTTCCAAAATCACATACCGTATTTACGCATGTATAGGCCGCGTGCGTGTATAGGCCGCAGCACAATTTTCAGACAGAAATTATAAAAAAAAATAATTTTCTTGGAATATTATTTCAGGAGTAGAACACCCTGTATTACTAATTATGAATATAATTTTTTTTTAAATGAAGTGTGATTTCGAATATTTCGAATATAAGCCGCACCCCAGTTTTCCTCTTGAATTTTTGGCAAAAAATGTGCGGCCTATACATGCGTAAATACGGTATATGGGCTGTATACCTGCAAGTACATGGGCTCTTGGATAGTCTCCAATATTGACTGTGCTCTAGTCCTTATGAGCTAAACTGGAGCCGCACTTCGACACTAAAATGTTGGTATTTCTTTCACTGAAGCTATCAACGAGGGGACTTGCGGGGCATCGTGTCTCGTGGGAGTCGTCATAGGGAGCTTCTTCCTGCTGTGCTCCATCACAGGCGTCTACATCTGCTGGAAATACAGGTCTGCATTGTAGTATAGTCAGATGTACTTATTTTTAGACTGTTCATGTCTCAAGAAGAATTCAACAGAATATTAGCACATTGCATACATAATCCAATACGTATATACGTACACACACAGACATAGCTGCATGCATGCATGTCTTCATTCATACACATACACATGCATACTTATATACGTACGCACACACATTCATACGTACACACACACATGCATACATACATACATATATACACGTACATACATAAGTAAGTAAGTCTGGTCAAGTGGGATTTGTGGTGGACAAAGTGGCGCTGGGGCAGGTTTACTCCGAGTATTTCGGTTTCCCCTGCCAATCTTCATTCCACCAATTGCTCCACAATCACCCTCACCTATCATCTGAGGCTGGTACAATAGGGCAGAAGTGGCCGCAGAACAAGGGACTTAGTCCCACCCAACTAGCAATTAAGAAAAAGTAAGTAAGTAAAGGTATCAATGTAACAGGCCACGGAGGCCCATAGGGTTGTGAGATGTTGAGGTTCCCCCATTTTCTAGATAATCGGCTCATAGATGGAGGCAAGGTTGTCAGCCTTACGCGCCGGCCGCCCTTTACCCCCAAGAATATTCCAAGAATATTCTTGGTACTCATTTCTGTTAGAGGCCGAGTCGACCCCAGGGCTATAGTGCGGCTGGAAGTATTAGGTCAATTGAAAAAATCCACCTCATCGGGATTCGATCCCATGACCTTCCGGCTTGTAGCATAGTGTCTCAATACATATACATAATAGATAAATACATTCATAAATATACGTGTGTATGTATACGCAATCAATACAAATTCTAGTTCCAGGCTGAAAGACTGGGGTTGATTCTAGGTGGAAGAGAATTTTCTTCTACGTACCTACTGCATACCGGCTCCAGGTTCCACCGAGACTACTGCCCAGTCGTTGCCGAGAGCAGTTTCCTTCTTTTGTAAAGCCGTGGAGGCTCCCACATTTTCTAGACAACTGGCTCACATATGGCGGTGAGGTTGTCAGCCTTAGGCTTCGGCAACCCTTTACCCCCCCCCCCAGAAAGATTCCTGGTGCTCATTTCTGCTAGAGTCTCTGTCGACCCCAGAGAGACAGTGCGGCTTCAAGGATTAGGTAAATCGAAAAGTCCAATGTCGTAGGGAATCGAACCAACAACCTTACGTCTTGTAGCAAAATGCCTCAACCAAACGTTTGAAACGTTGTCAGTCTTGTGAATTTTAAACACTGTGGCTCATCGGATAGTTGTCAGTTAAATACATGCTCAGAATTACATAACTTTTTCAAGGTTAATTCCTTAAGACTGAGGGTATGGAACTTGGAAATGTTAAGACTATTTGTGAACGAAACCATTTGAACTACATTTAGTGACTGAATTACTCGTAAATTACGCTACAATTTACGTGTATGTTAAGGCCGATCATGAGATAATTTTGACATATTTGAGAATAATTAATTTTGGCGAATAAGCACTGGGAAATTAAACATAAAATGTTCTTTATGCACCGAATGTCAAAATTGGAGCGAGGTTTACATAGAAAATTCTGAATTCTTAATTGTAGATAAAAATAATTACAAAATTTCCTTCGAAAATCCCTGTAGACAAGAGAGCACCTGTAATACCAAGGTGTTGATTGGAGGATAATATTAAATTCGAAGCTCCAATGCTCCATGCGATTGCACAAATTCATAAACATTTTACATTCTTTTAAATCTGATCTTGGGAATGTTCTGACACATAAAGCAGGCTATATCAATTACTGCAGTTCTCGGTATTGCTGTTGTCAACATTATCCTCACCATTGCCATCAACATCATCCGAATCACGTAGCTGTTTTGGTTATAATGAAGGGTACGAGTGTTGCTTTTAGCCTCCACAGCAATCAGTTATTTGCTTTGGCCAGAAGCCTTTACATCGCTCCATTGACTAGTGGGTCATGTCCCTGAGGTTACTGTTCCAGTCGTAATGGATGGCCCTTGTCACAGAATCGGTGATCACTGACCCTGAACACCCTCCCTTTCCCTTGGCCATTACTACGTAACTAAATTGTATACTGTTTTTATTTTCTATTAAATCAGAATGTCTGGAAAAGGAAGACGCGAGCGGAAGTATGTGGGGAGTGTGGCATCTCTTTCCGGCGTCCAGTCGGACTACGTGGACCGAGCACTGCAACCAGGCGACGCTCAACTCCTCAGCTATGACCCAGCAGTTCCTATTGCCTCCCCTGACCCGCGAACAGTGGTAAGTTACGCTTTTCATGCGCCTTATGTTCAATTATTCCTTTCCCCCTTGTTTACTAGGAAGCTGTCTTTCTCCGCTCGCTATCGTTTGCCAAACCTCCTAAGGTTTCTGGTTTAATGTATTATTTATTAACTAAAATAAGTATTGAATATAAGGATTACTGTTTATAATATTATATAATCAATCCATTTTTATATTTTCGTGTTTTATTTCGTTTGTGAGCGTTTTGTATACCTTATTTTGTAGGCGCTGCAATTTCAATAGATGGGTGCTATATCTGGAAATTCGCGGCAAATATCCATCTAATGAAATTGCAGCGCCTACAAAACAAGTTTCTCTGAACCATTGGCTGGAAAGGGCCAGTCTCCACGGCTTCCTATATAGGCTCGGCACGGACCACCCATAGAAAATACATCAATTTCTCAGCAACGGATATGCTGTATTGTTATCAGGCGTGTCCACCCATGCATTTCCTAGCAATGGATGTATTTTTTGAGTATTCATTGCTGCGGGATATGTTTGCCGGTCTTCTACCTAACAATGGATGTCCTATTGTTGAATGTTCGTTGGTTGGAACGTGTTTACCTATTCCTTTCCTATAAACGTCCCAATCTGTCACAATATGAAACCATATGCTTTTAGGATTATAAGGCCCCCTCTCTCCTCCCTCCGGATAACTTTGGAACTAACTTATGGAATCTCACAAAAATCTGAACGAACATCATGGCCTTACAAACAACTTAAGTTTGTANGCAACACAGCGCCGGGCAACAAGGGTGCTTATTACGTGGCCGTTTTCTGTATTGTCCGATCGAGGCTACATGAGGCGCAGCGAAGTCTATTCACAGTTAGTCCTGGAGCTACCTACGAGTCAGTCCTCGAGTTACCTCCGAGTTAGTTCCGAATTAGCCAGCAACCAATCAGTTGTATTCTGGCATTTGGAGTGTACTATTTGTGATACTGCAGATAGCAGTAATCGTAAATCTGTAATTTGGGTGATTGTAAGTGCGAATGTGAAATAAAATTCGCTATATAAAATACGGCGTGAATTTATTTGTCGCGTCATACGCCCAATACGCGACAATATTTATATATTTTATTTTACTTTCTTGGGGTGGGGTGAGAGAGGCCATTTGGTACGTCGGTCACTGACTGATCTATTGTGCCAGCCTAGGACGATAGAAGATAAGTGTGGAGCAGTCGGTGGAACAAGAATGTAGGGGAAACTGAAGTACTCGAAGAAAACCTACCCCAATGCCACTTTGTTCACCACAAATCTCACATGACCTGACCAGGGTTCGAACCCGGTCCACCGTGGTGGAAAGCCGGCAACTAACCGCCTGAGCTATGGCACGGTCCTTGTGCACATATGTATATACAGAGAATATATATATTCTTAATCTGCCATAATTAACACCCACATGGCGGCCTTGCGATCTTCTGATCTGAGTTCTGTACTTGTGTCACTTAATTTGCAAGCCTGACAATGCATATGTTCACAGTTCTTCGAGAAACTAGATAAGTAAATTTACGTAAAATACAGTATGAGGCAAAAGGTGGAGTACTGAAACTCGCGCATTTGCGTCTGTCGACGGGGCATAACTCCAGCAGCACGTGTTTCCAGTAGTGAAAAGGAAGTTGTGTTGTGCAGTTTTTGGAAATGGGTCTCTCGACGGAGTAAAATGTATTCACAGTTGAGTATTATTTCCATTCATACGGAAGTGGTCGCCAGACAACTCGCTTCCTTGGTTTTGAGCGGCCAGATGTTATCGTCCAGAAACCGCTACACAGTACACGTGTGACGCTATGGTGTGCCGTCTCAGCACACGGTATATTAGGCCCCTATTTCATTGAGGATGAGGAAGGCAATGCTCTTACCGCCACCCAAGAACGCTACAGGAACATGGTGATCGGACCATTTTTTTCGGGATTTGAGAAGGTTCTGTCGTGCAAGGGGCCTTCACATGAATAGACAGTGGTATCAACAGGACGGTTTTTCATTTCAGTACTCAATATTTTGGCGCATAAGATAACTCCATAGTACAGAACATGTTTATAGAGTTCAAGCTCTACCCTTTTATTTTGTAGGTGCTAGGTCGGGACACGAGCTATCCCGGCTGGTGACGTTTTTCATGGTTTCCTCAGTCACTCCAGACGGATGCTTAGATAGTATCTCTATTAGGCCACGATCGCTATCCTCCAAATGCTTTCCAGTTCATAATTCACCAAACCGCCCGACACTTTATAGTCTCGACACTGAAGCTGTTGTTAAATAACCTATGAANAAAAAAAAAAAAAAGACAACGTGACAATCCCCAGAAAAGCCGATATTTACGTTTCATTTGATGGCGATAGCTTACTGATATACGGACCCAGGTATGTGAAAGTAAGTATTTCAGCATTCGTATGAAATATTTTCTCTTGAAAATTGTAAACATGGAGCAAAGCGAAACTGTCATGTAACGTGTCAAGATTTTCAGAACCATAAACTTAACTCACGTAAAAATATTTACAAATATAATAGCCCTGTATTTATTACCTTCTAACTTTTGCTGTCCTTTTACAGACATACTGAAGAATTTAAAGGAAACGTGTATAACTCATGATTAGCATTATCATGACTACGTAAGAGTGCCCATTTACCAATTTTTAAGTACAAAAAAAATTAGATTAAAATCATAGACATTTCATGTAACTTCTTTTTAGCCTACACTTCTTATTAACAACAGAAGCAAAGCTTATCATCATCATCATCATCATCAGTAATCTGTCAAGACGACAGGTCCACAGTCTCTTCCAAAACAATTCCTCCACTTAATGCGATCTAGAGCTTTCTCCTTCAAATGACAGTATCCTCTTCTGTCCCCAAGGTCATCCAGCATCTTCTTACGTCTTCTTCCTCGTCTTCTTGTCACTTCTATCCGCCCATCTATCTTTCCTTCGATAGCTTCTTTTAGAAGGCAGTTTCTGCGTAAAACATGACCAATCCAATTAGCCTTCCGTTTTCTTATTTCATGTAGGATATTCCTCTGCTCACTGACTCTAATTAACACTTCTTCATTTCTCACATAATCGGTCCAACTGATCTTCTCCATTCTTCTCCAACACCACATTTCGAAACTTTCCAGATGTTTCTGATCTACTGCCCTAAATGTCCATGTTTCAGCCCCATACAGAGCTATGCTCCAAATGTAGCATTTCACTAGTTTCTTCCTCAAATTTAAGTCCAATTTGCTGGTAAAAAGATTCTTCTTCTTGCTAAATGCAGCTTTTGCCATGGAAATCCTGGATTTAATTTCACAAGTACACCTTCCATCATCTGTTAACAAGCTACCCAAATATTTAAAACATTTCACATTCTCCAGTTGTTTTTGGTCTATCAAAGCTTATAATAACATTAAATATTTTATGTACTTAAAAATTAATAAGATTCTACCAATCGTGTTTTGCAAATTTTCATGAAAATTTGTGAGAATATCTGTGAATTATAGGCCGCCTAACCTATGTACCTTTAATTTCCTTATAATCAACGATATCAAAATGGCAAGTGTGCAATCTCTAACGTGGGAAGCGTAACAGTTCGTTTAAGCGTTGAAATTCATTGTAACCATTTCTTTTCAGTCTTATTTCATTCATTAGATGTAAGCAACTTGTACATTTTTAATTCGTTGTTAGTTAATGTTGATTGCAGTAGATATTGCCAATAATTCCATAATGCCTTGGATTTCAACTCTGTTCGTGACTCGCTTAGATGTGACCGCGGAAGTTTGTTTGTCAGTAATGGTATTCCATCGAATCAAAGACAATAAACCCGGGTATATGCAATGAGCTTTGCACAAATCCTTCAGAAATAATCTCTCATATGGCCGTGAAATGCCTGCAGACATATCCACAGAAATGTTGACAATGATACTAGCAGTGATGGTTTTTGGGATTTTCTTAATATGTATTGAATTATATTTCCTTACTTTTAACTTCAATAGCTTGTTATAATAATAATAATAATAATAATTCAATTCAATTCAATTCTTTATTATTAATGTGCCGAGTCAACAGCCGCAAGGCCAATTACAGACACAGCACAGTGCAGAAGAA